CTTGTAGGTATGTTTTAATGCAGATCTCTAATTTTTTCCTTAATTTTCATTTTCAGGAATAGACAATGGGACTAAAAATTGAATATTAAATAAAATTATTGTTTGTCAAATTACAAAAAAGTTAAAAAGTTAGATACTAATGGTTTTAAAATAAATATATTGATAAACTGCCTTCAAAATAGTTATACAAATTTGCAAGCTCATAAGCAATACCTTACTTACCCTTTAGAATGCATTGGGCCTATATTTTTATGCCCACAGATTTATGTCCTACTACTATCTTGAGTAAACTCTCCTGCTGAGTATAGTCTGGTGACCACCTGTCACCTGTACACAATGTTCACTGTGGTTGTAGCTCTTTCCTTCTGGGATGTCCATGCCCCTATCCCTGCCTCGTTGGCTTTTTTGTGCAACTCATTCTCAATCCATAAGTCCCAGTTCAAATTCTCCTTTCTCTACAAGACATTGCCCAACTAGCCCTGCTCCTGGTGCTGTCCCTGCTCAGAATTCCTTTGTTCCTTTCCTCACTCACATTCATTATCTTTCATTTGACATGTTACATATATACCCACACACGAAACAAAAACCCCAATTATCAGAGGTCCTCCATTCTCATGTTTTATATACTTATCTTATTTCCCCAAATAGTCAACAACAATGGTTCTTGAAGGATAGTCCCCAGACTAGCAGCAGCAGTATCACCTGGGAACTTGTTAGACATGTCAGTTCTTTGGTTCCACCCCAGACTTACTGAATCAGAGACTCTAAAAGTGGGGTTCAGGAATTTGCATTTTAACACGACTTCTATGTAATTCTGATGTGTGCTGAAGTTTGAGAACTACTAGTCTATAAATTTCTCAAGGTTAAGTATACAATGGTACTACACACACACACACACACACACACACATGCACACACACACAATCTCTCTATTCCATAAGATTATCGGGGTTTTAATTACAGTAGAAGCTAATGCTCATTGAGTACCTACTATGTGTCAAGCATTATATTTGTATTACATGTGCATCATCTTTTACATTCCTTGCAACAATCCTATGGAATATGAACCACTGACATCCCTAATTTACAGATGAATAAACTGAGGAATAGGGACAGTTTAACTTAATTACCCAAAGTCATACAGCTATTAAATGTATTAGTGTTAGAGTCTGGATTAAATCTTGGGCTGGCCAGTTGGTTAGAGCTCAGTTGGTTACAGCGTGGTGTTACAACACTAAGGTCAAGGGCTCGGATCCCCACGTGACCATCCACCAAAAACAAAAACAACAACCAAAAAAAAAAAACCCCCCAAAAGCTCAAGCAGTGGGACCCCAGGAACTTTCTCTTAACAACTATGCTCCTTTGCCCTACATTCTGCACAGCTCGGATCCCCACGTGACCATCCACCAAAAACAAAAACAACAACCAAAAAAAAAAAACCCCAAAAAGCTCAAGCAGTGGGACCCCAGGAACTTTCTCTTAACAACTATGCTCCTTTGCCCTACATTCTGCACTGGGGATTTGGCATCTGGTGTTCTGCTCTTGCTCTGTTTAGAGCAGTGCCTGATTGAAATAGCTTTCTCCTTCCCCAGGTGATGACGGAGGGTAAGAATAGGGAGGATGCTTAGAAGACCTTTGTACCTTCATGTTTTCCAAAGAGTTTCTACGTTTAACAACTGTACAGAGCAGGGATTCTTAACCAGGGGTCCATATAAAGGTAACAAAAAATCTGAAACGCCTGCAATTACATGCAAAAATGTGTTTGTGTGTCCATGTGTATACCCATTTTTATATTTCTCCTCAAATTCACTGAGGGATCTTCAACCTCAAAATGTTAAGAATTACCACTCTAGAGTCTGCAGTTTTACAACTGTAATTTAGAACTGGAAGAACCTTAAAGAATGCACAGCCCGGGATTCTCATAAGTTGTCCTGGAACAGGTGCCCCACTGGCTGTATTAGAGTCACCTGACCTCTGACCTGAAATGGGACCAAGAATCTGTATGTCGAAGTGCCCCGAATGATTCTGATGCACACACAGGTTTTGAAATCAGTGTCCTGGTCCAGTGGTTCTCAAACGTTGGAGGGCATCAGAGCTCCCTAAACAGCTTGTTGATACACAAATTGCTGGGCCTTGTCCTCAGAGTTCCTGATTCAGTGGGTTTGGTGGAAACCTGATAATTTGCATTCTAACTTTTGATGCTGATGCTTTTGGCCAGGGTCTACACTTTGAGAACCTTCATTCTAGCCCAGTCTACATATTAAAGATAAAGAAAGTGAGAACTGGAAAGGGTTGGCTCATTTTTCTAAGGTAACATGATTAAGGAAAATCAAGGACTTTTTTGCATACATCTCACAACATTAAGAAATATACTCTTACTTATGGGTCATTGAGAATACAGTCATATCAAACTGAACAGAAAAGAAATTGTGTTTTTCCATAGAGCGAAATCATTCAACATCAAGGCTATCCCTGTGAGGAGTATGAAGTCACGACCGAAGATGGGTATATCCTTTCTGTTAACAGAATTCCTCAAGGCCTGATGCAACTTGAGAAGACAGGTATGGTTCACACTATGTCACCCCGGCATGGCACTCTCCCCTGCAGTCATGACTTTGTTGTGATTTGACTGTGTAGAAGAGAGTCTGGGTTCTTAGTACAGACTAGGGTCCATTGTTCAGGTCAAAGGATGGTGTCAGTTCCCCCATAATCTTCATCACCACCACCTGACCCCACCCCACCATTGTCAATTATCTCAAATAAACATACCATATTTGCTTTTCAAAAAGCATCCTCAAGAGAAGTCCATTTCTTGATCCCTTCTAGAATTTAACTCATTATTAAGCCTATATAGATATTCTAGAACATTCACTGATGATTCCTTGAACAAACCACACCAACTCCTGCTCTTGAAGAATGCAAACTCCAATATGGCACCCAATGCTCACCCCTGCACATGGTATTCCCCAACCAAAGAGCTCTTTAAATATTTAAGATGTTGCCTAGGTTTTCACTAGAAATTTTTAAGAACCAGGCTCTATTTGCACATTTTTAATATTTGATATATATTTTGATAGTTTGTATTTCCATTTTTTGTGTAGGAGATTTTCAGCTATTTCTGTCTTTTAAAAAATTAATCTTCATTATTCAATGAAGTATGTCTATTGCCCACCTATATTTTGCTCTATCCCTTTTAATACTCTATGTCTATAGCAGCAACTACATTGTCTGTCATGTATACAGATAATATAATTTCTTATGTTCTTTCTATATGCCAAGTGCAATGCTAAGTGTTTTATTTGCATTACTCTCATTTAATTTCACAATAACCCTAAGAAACTACCACTCACAAAGGTTAAGTAACTCACCCAGAAAGTCTGTGTCAGTACCTGCTGGTGAGTTGCAAAACCTGCACTCAAATCAAGATAGGTCTGCCATTATAGCCCATGTTTTAATTAGGACCAGAAAATATTGGGCAAATGCTACTGGGCTTTGGTTTACAAAAGCTTTGGGGTTCTCTTTTATTTCAATTTGTGCTGGTGTAGCTTTTTAAAAATCAGCTCCTTTTTTGCTTCCCAGCTGTGTTTTATCTTATATACATCCAGCATGCTCCCACTTCAGTGCCTGTGAACTTTCAGCTCTCTTTCTGACCACGGTTTCATCAGATATCTATGCAGCTTGCCTTGGCCCTTCTTTCAGGCCTAAGAGTCCTTCCCTGACCACCCTGTTCTAAATAGCAACCCCCTGCTACCTATTGAGGGCTAGCCCCTTGCCCTGCTTGCTCTTCCTTGAAGCACTTACCACAATCTGATATGATAGATATTTGCTTCTCTATTGCCTGTCTTCCCCCAACCAGAGTGTAAGCTCAATGGGAACAGGAGCTTCATCAATTTTGTTCAAGGCTATATCCAGTGGCTAAAAGAGTGCCAAGCACATTCTAAGAGCTAATAAATATTTGTAAAATGAATAACAAATTTTTTATAAATGAATATTGGGGACACAGAAAGAACTTTCCACTAAGCTCCATGAATCCTGGGGGTAAGAGGGAGGCACTACTCTTCCAAGCAGTCGAGTGACTGCAGCAATGACTAAGCTGAAAGTTCACCTGCACCCTCTATTCACAGATGAGTTTGTTTTCTCCCATCCTGTCTACTTAGACTGTTCGCTCATTGCCCAGGCGTTTGGGGCTCAATAAGCCTTTTGGTCCAGGCGGTGCAGAACACTCCCCTCTAGTGGCTGATGCTGTTCCTGCAGCCTCCATTCACCTCTTCAAGGAGGCGATCTCCCACTGCAGAGGAAAAAAGATTTTTCACCATCTCTTCAAAAAGAGAGCCGATGAAATCATACTGAAAACAACTGAAAAAGTTTACTGAAGCTTATAGCTTGTGATAAAATCCTTTTAATCTTCATTAAATAATTATAGTTGGCTTCAATATTTACATCAAGAGAGAAAACAGACCGGGCCATCCAATGTAACCCTCACACACTCTGTGTCTGTAATTTAAATAGAAGCCCATCATGTTTAATTGTGATGTTTAATGGACATCCTTGCAGTTTAAGATGACACTTTTAAAATAAAATTCTCTCCTAATGATGGCTTGAGCCCTGCCACTCAATGGGAGAATCACTCACACACTCTGTGTCTGTAATTTAAATAGAAGCCCATCATGTTTAATTGTGATGTTTAATAGACATCCTTGCAGTTTAAGATGACACTTTTAAAATAAAATTCTCTCCTAATGATGGCTTGAGCCCTGCCACTCAATGGGAGAATCAGCAGAGCCTGTAGGATCTTATTTGGAATTGACATTCTCCACTGTAATTTAGTTCCTGTTTATTTTTAAATTTTCTTTCTGTTTCACTGGAAAGGAAGGATGAGGCTCAGTTTTAAACGTTAAAAGTGTACAAGTTGCTTTTTTTTTTTTTTTTCCTTTTTGTCTTTTTCCGTGTCCGGCAACGGGATTGCAACCCTCGGTGTTGCTCCCACACCTCACTCAGCCAGTGAGCGGGAACTGGTCTGTATGTGGGATCCGAACCCTTGGTGGGAGGGCCACCATGCTCCCAAGCGGCGCACTGTAGCAATGCGCCACCGGGCCGGCCCACAAGTTGCTTTGTTACAATAAGACTAAATGTGTACACAAAGGGAAAATAAATAAATAAACAGAAAGCCCACGACTCTAGGGGACTTGTGAAATGATATAAGGAAGCCAGGCCTCTCACTAGGTCATCCACAAGTACAAACTGTACCGCTAAGTAGGGCCACACTGACCTCAGCCATGGGAAATGTCCTAAAGACTCCAAAGGAGAGTATCAATCAACATAACTGAGGTCACCTCCCTGAGGGTTGAGAGGGTTGACTAAATGACCAGACATCACAGAAGACCTCAAATAACACCGAGGTCCTTTGTCCTGGCCCTGCACGGGCAGTCCTCAGTGACTATGTGTTCTCTCCCCAGAGGGGCAAAATGAGGAAAATGAAATTCATGAAGACTGTGCAGATGCTGGGATGAGTTTGTTGTAGAAAGGCTTTTGTCATATAGGGAGACTGCGTACAGATTCCGTACCCCTTTATAACAATCATAACTAGAGCTTCCCATCTGATAAGAGGTCAGGCAGCACACTGAATGCATGACGCACAGTGCCTCATTTAATCCCCCAAAACCCTGTGAGGTGGGAGATTGTATCCTCATTTTGCTAATGGGGACACTGAAGCTCAGAAAATCTCTTACCTCCGAGAGTCATAGCAATAACCACGACAGCAGCAGCAGTAAAGCTGCTCTTTACTACAGGCTTCCTCTGAGCCGGGTACTGTGGTAATGGACATTGCATCCAGTAGCAGATTTAATTCTCACAAGTCCTATCAGGGCCACGGTGTTCTTCCTTCCTAGTAGTTCAGCATTTTATCAATCTTTCAGTAATATTTGCTGATGTCAAAAATGGTGTGTATAGCTTAATTTATTTAACACATTAGAATTTATAAATCCCTTAATCCTTTTTTATCCTCATGCTATTTTGATAACTTTTTATTTTGCTGATGTCAAAAATGGTGTGTATAGCTTAATTTATTTAACACATTAGAATTTATAAATCCTTTAATCCTTTTTTATCCCATGCTATTTTGATAACTTTTTATTTTGATAAATTTCAAACTTACAGAAAAGTTCTGGGAATAGTACAAGGAACTGCCATATGACCTCTACCCTGATTCACCTAGTGTTTACATTTGGCCTCCATTTATTTTATCACCTTCTCTCCATCTCTCCCACCCCTACATGTATCATTATTTTTTCCAAAACCTCTGATAGCAGATTTGAGACATCCTGCCTATTTACCCTTAAATACTCCAGTGGGTATTTCCTAAGAACAAGGATAGTCTCTTCCATAACTACAATATATTTATCAAAAATAGGAAACTAACATAGTCTGTATTAAAATTTTCTCAATGATCCCAAAGTCCTTTATAGATGTTTTTCCTCCCCCTGGTCAATAATCAAATCCAGGATCATGTACCACGTTTGGTTGTCATGTCTGTCTCCTTTGCAAACTGGACAGTTTTTCTGTCTTTTTTGACCTTGCCACTTCTGAAGAGTGTTGGAAAGGTAACTTAATTTGTTTTTCTGATGTCTTCATGGTTGCTTCTCAGCCTTTTGGCTAAGATCAAGTGTGAAGTTTCTTCCTGATGTGATTCAGGTTACACACTTCTGGCAGGAATGACACAGAAGTGAAGTTGTATCCTCGGTACATCATGTTATAAAGCACATGATGTTGGCTTGTTCTGATACTGCTGATGTTAACCTTGATGATTTTGTTAAGGGGGTCTCTGCCAGGCTTTTCTACTATAATGTTATCACTTTTTCCTTTCTGATGAATAAATAATTTGTGGGGAGGTACTTTTAGGATATATAAATATCCTGTTTGTCTTCCAACTTTCACCCACTAATTTTAGCATTCATTGGTGATTTGAATCTATCTGTATCTATTAATTGGCATTATACTGTAAACGAGATTTTCCTTCTTCCTTAATTATTTGTTTGTTCATTTATTTATTGACATCTGTATGGACTGTAGCATTCTTAATTTATTCAATGGGATAGAATTCATTCTATAATTATTTATTTTAATGCTCAGATTTTCCTGTATTTGAAAAGTGGGAGCTCCTTCAAGCTGGCTTGCCATTGTTTTTGACATGAAGGTCCATTACTCATTAGACCATTATATATATGCTATATATATCTTAGTCATTATACTATACTATTGCCCGGGCACTTCCGATATTTTCTGAGGAGCCCAGACAAGTCCAGTAGTAATAATTACACAAAACAAACAACAAAACCAAACTTCATAGATTCTTCCTTTGTGCCAGATATGCTGTCTTTTCCTTGTGTTCTATTTCATTTAATCATAACAAAAATCCCATTTTACTGATGAGGAAATCAAGACACAAAAAGATTAAATAACTGACTAAGATAATCAAGCTAGCAAGCAGCTGAATCAAGATTTGAATATAGATGTGTCTGACTTGGAAGCCCTTGCACTTAGTGGATAGCGAGAACGGTAGAGAACATTTCACACAGTGGAAATTTTCTCCTTTTTGCAGGTTCCAGGCCTGTGGTGTTACTGCAGCATGGCCTGGTTGGAGATGCCAGCAACTGGATTTCCAACCTGCCCAACAATAGCTTGGGCTTCATTCTGGCAGATGCTGGTTTTGACGTGTGGATGGGAAACAGCAGGGGAAACACCTGGTCTCGGAAACACAAGAACCTCTCCATAGACCAAGATGAGTTCTGGGCTTTCAGGTATATGAAAATCTTGAGAATGGAGGTAGACGTGGATATCTTTCAGAGAACTGGGTAAAGGATTATGGCTTCTAATACTCGTTTAATTTTATTTTGGTTGGGTCTTCAATATCCTAACATAGTATCTCCAAATTTTCTTAACTAACTATTGATTCTTTGGGGGAAGTAGTGGGGAATATTGGATTCCGTAAGTAGAAGTTTGGGATGGGCTAATGGGGTAAGAATGGTGGTGGTGGCAGGTGACTGAGGTTGGAATGAGAGAAGTGTAAGTCCATTTCCTTATAGGTGGGTGTCCTGGGACTAACTCTTCAGTGAGTGATGACAAGGGTTTGTACTCCAGAAGGAGACCAGGCAGCATTGGGGGAAAAAAAAAAAAGAGAGAGACAGAGAGAGAAACTATCAAGCCTCAGGGACCATCAATTTAACTAACACATCTCTCATTCTCTTACAAAAGATTTTTAATGTTTTTATTTAAATTGCCCGTGAACTTTCAACCTGCTCTTTATACCCATCAAAAAAGGGTTCCTGCAGCATCTTTAGTACTTTTCCTATAAATGCATTTGCATGGCCTGTGCCATTCTGCTAACAGTGTACAGGACACCTCCACTAGGAGGTGGATCACATGTTCAGTGAATATTTGCTGAAGATGATTATCACTCTGTGATAACTCTATGTACAAAACGGTGGCTTGCTGACAGCCTGTGACCCAAGAGACATCCATACATCAGAGGCTTGAAACAAGTCTGTGCTGAGTTGTGAGGGGCACAGTAACAATCTGTTGGGGTTGACAACTCAAGGGCTTGTTTGTAAACTCAGAGGGGAGGGGAGTGATTGTGTTTGTTTTCGATTGTAATTTTTCATATAACTTTGTCTTTTCCCCTTGTAGTTATGATGAGATGGCTAGGTTTGACCTTCCTGCAGTTATAAACTTTATTTTGCAGAAAACGGGCCAGGAAAAGATCTATTATATCGGCTACTCACAGGGCACCACCATGGGTAGGTTCAAAGGAAAGCAGGTTTGTATACTCAGAAGAAATGTGAGCACATGGCATGAAATGTGCCTGGAATCGGTCACCTCGCAATTCTCTCAGATTTGGCCTTATCTTCTTCAGTGACTCAAAGGGCCAAGGGAAAAAGGGACTGAATTGAAGGAGCCCTCTGGTATAGCAGAAACAGCGAGGGCTTTGGAGTCAGACGGATGTGGATTCAGTACTGTCTCTGCCACCCCTTAGATAAATATCCTTAAGAAAGTTATTTAAACCCCTGGTCTCAGTTTCTTCATCTATAAAATGGGAATAACTCCCTCTTAAGGGTGTTAGAGGTGTTTGTTTGGACTATTCAATATGATAAATTATGTAAGCTCTGTGAAGACAGGGGTTTAGTCTAACACACATCTATAAAAGCAGTTCCTGGCACACAGTACACACTCCATAAATGGGTTGAATGAATGGAGCCCTGAGTTCAGTGTCTGCCACATAATAGGCAATCAATAAACAGTAAGCATTATCATCATACTATAAACAGATCTGATAGGGTTTTTACTCAAGTCTTTCTCTTTTTCTTCTAATGCCAGTGTCTGGAATTATGTGCTGGTGTCCTTTCACTTTTGATGAATTTGTGAGCCACCTTAACTCATGGCCCTGTGCAGAGTACAGATCACTTACCTGTGGAGATGGGAGTGGAGACTGTGGCTGTCCTAGCCCAATATCAGAATAAAGCCAGTAGGAAAAGTGTACTTGGCTTAGATTAGGAGAAAGGAAGATCATGAGAGGCACTATGTGTGCCATGAGGAGAGGCCCTCTGGGGCTCACAAGAGCTCTTTACCTTTGCCCTGAGGCCAAACCATAAGTTAAAGGCTAGTTAAGGGCAGTGTAGGAGACAAGTGTAGGAGACAAGGAGACACTTACCAGAAGAAATATTTATTCTTGGACTAGCACAGCTGTGTCTAGCTATCTCAACAGGATTTACACTCATTAGTATGGAAATATGAAGTTTTGTAAATAATTTAAATTTTTTTGCCCCCTTTGGTGTCTGTGGTTTAATATCATTATTATATATCATCCCAGCCTTTCTAATAGTACTGATTGCTTCTTATGAACACCTAGTACCTACCAGCCTTTATACACGAGGGGTCTTCAGAAAGTTCATGGAAAGATTCGTATTATCTTTTAATTATGCTTTTCCATGAACTTTTGGAAGTACTTTTATATACATCATTTTGCTTCATCCCCACACAAGAATATGCAGTAAAGATTTGTATCACTATTTGACAGATAAAAAAAAGTTGTAGCTTAGTGACAGAGCCTGACCACAGTTACTTACACAGTAGGCCACAAAGCCAGGACCTGTTCCCATGTACTCAGTGCACATGCCACATAACTACTAAACAATGAGTTCTGTAAATAGGAATTATATTCACACATTCCTCAACTTCTAGAGTCTTATTGCCACCTCCAGAGTTATTGAGGATTCTTATGTCAAATCCTTCAAAAAACAGCCATAGATGATCTCTAAAACCTGTTGTCATCCTGAAAGCATTGTGAATTCAGGTCAACAGTAGGGAGACCTCAGCCAGCTTTTAGTTAACTCAAAGGATGCGTGTTGTTCCCTTGATTCAACAATACACCGCGGAGCCGGTCTTAAGCCATTTGGTTTCTGAGACCTCACTTTGGCCATGGATACTGACTTGCCAGGTAATTTGATTCTGCAAAAGCTTACAGTGATGATTAAATGTTGCCACCGAGCCATGAGTTCACCTTTTGCTAAACTCTTTATCTCACAGAGAGTGGCCAATTTAACTCTCCCTGAATTTCCTCAGGTGTAGGCTCTCTCTTCAAGAAGTAAGGAAAATAAAGTACTTGCTCTGAGAAATTTCAAGGGAATAGAAGCCACTACTGGAAAGGGATGTCCAACATTTGTGTAGGTCCAACATTTTCTAGGGAAGCCTGATGTGTATCAAATTACTTAAATCTCTCCTGCAAATTACTCAGCCCTAGCAAACACACCTTAAGGAATGAGTCCGAGACTCATGGCAAACCAGATTGGTAGAGACTAAACTACATACGGCCCAGAGCCCCTGGTCACTGACTTGCACAGACTGATTGAACCAGGGTCTCATACCAAGTCCATGGCAGGAATGAGAATTAGAAACCAGATCACTAGACAACTTATCTACCAGTCTAGGCTACAATTTGGGTTCCAGAAAAGTTAGGGATGAAGGAAAAGCAGCAGAAACCCTGCAATCCTTGATGCCCTTTGTTATAGAACATACTTATCAAACAAGGTGATTTCTCTAATTCTCAATTTCTACTCACAAGATTCTGGGAATTAAATGAGGTAAGAACCATAAAAGTCCCCAGTAAAATATCTAGCTTATAGTTACCTCTCAATATATATTTTTTCTCAGTCAATATTATTGTATTTAATAGTTTAATTCAATGAGAACCTACTACTTGAAAGCAAATTCAAGGGTTCTTCAAAAAGTTAGTGAAAAAAATAGGATTAAAAGATAATACAAACCTTTCCATAAACTTTTTGAAGTGCCCTCGTATGCTAGGTGTCATAGGGAACACAGAGGAGAGGAGTTTTTGCTCTTCCCCCTGACCCCAGGGATCTTATATTTTTATGAGAGTTAAGACACAATCACACATAATTATTGAAATATCTTGATAAAAGTAAAATACACATTTTATGAGTTCTAGATATTCATTATTCATACTGACATATTTATTCTGTTGCAGGCTTTATTGCATTTTCTACCATGCCAGAGCTGGCTCAGAAAATCAAAATGTATTTTGCTTTAGCACCCATAGCCACTGTTAAATATGCAAAAAGCCCTGGGACCAGATTTTTGTTGCTGCCTGATATGATGATCAAGGTATGTGACTCCTCAGAAAATTCCATATGTACATAAAAGAGTCTTTCAGCCCAGTTTCCTAAAATATATCCTTTTAAATTAGAGCCACTTCTTTTCTATCATGCAATGACTACTGTTCTTACACTTTTACAGGGATTGTTTGGCAAAAAGGAATTTCTGTACCAGACCAGATTTCTCAGGCAATTTGTTATTTACCTTTGTGGCCAGGTGATTTTTGATCAGATTTGTAGCAATATCTTGTTACTTCTGGGAGGATTTAACACCAACAATATGAATATGGTAAGTAAGAGCTTCGTCACCTCCTAGTTCCCCAACACAAATCTGGGGGTTATTGTCTTACTCCTTGAGAGAGCACTAACCCAGTGAATACTTAGAGAAAGGATGTACTCCCAGGAATTCAGTCTCTCCAAATTGTAAGGAAATGGGAGAAATATTTGAGCACGCAGCTGAGGCAAGGGCAGATATTAAATCACATTATTGCTAGATATTAAATCACATTTATAAATGCAAGAGATCTGAAAGCAGCTTTACTACAGTGAATTAACATATGAAAAAAAGTAATTAGAACCTGGTGGTCACCAGAGAGAACTGCCATGCGTCATCCACCCTCTTCCCTCCACTTGGGTTCTTTTGGTTTGGAGGTTAAGTCCTCTGATAAAACGTCTGGGAGTTTCAATCTGGCTTAGGCATACCTACCAGTTGGTGAATGCCACTGGGTAGGTTCCCCAAGAATCATACTCTGAGATGGAAATTAATGTGCAGAGTGATTTGGGGTTCTGCTCTTGGAATAACACGTGGAGAACAGAAGGAAACGGGATTCAGTAGATGAAAAAGTCCAGCTGTGATGCAGTCCCAACAGGAGCCTCAGTTGATTCTACAGGGATTTGTGAAGATGGGATGACCTCTGAGAGTTGTCTCAAATTAGGAGAAGGGGGCTGGGTCTTTATACCCCCATATCAACCATTCGTTTAATGCAGACGACACCAGTAACCGGAGACACTGGGCAAGGCCTCTGTCTGCAGTGGGGCAATCCTCAAAGCAGGCTGACACATAAAAAAGAATGAAATTCTGCCATTCACAGCAACATGGATGAGCTTGGAGAAAATTATGTTAAGTGAAATGTTAGGCACAGAAAGAACAACACTGCATGTTCTCACTCATATGTGGTAATTAAAAAAGAGAACAAAACAAACAAAAAAACAAGTAAATAAAAAGTTGAATTGTTAAAAGGAGAGAGAACTGTGCTTCTTAGAGGTGGGAAAGGGGAGAGGGAGGAGGATTGTGAGAGGCTGGTAACGGACACAAAATTACAGCTAGATAGGAAAAATAAGTCTTATTTGTGTACAGTCAACCCAGCAATCTATAATTAGCAATGATTTGCTGCATGTTACCAAATAACTAGAAGAGAGGAGACCAAATGTGTGCATCACAAAGAAATGATTAAGTTTTGCAATGGTGACTATGCTAACTACCCTTAATAGATTGTCAAACGTTGTATACACGTATTGAAACATAACTCTGTACCCCATAATATGCACAATAAATGTGTTTCAATAAATTTTTTTTTTTAAGAATTCTAAGGAACTACATTAGTCCTCCCTTATCCACAGTTCAACTTTCCTTGGTTTCAGTTACCTGAGGTCAACCATGGTCTGAAAACATTAAATGGAAAGTTCCAGAAATAAACAACTCATAAGTTTTAAATTGAAAAACTAACAAAGCAGGATGACAGTGGAGGACTGTCTGCCATCAGCACTCTCAGCGGCTGCGGGAATATGTTTTTAACTCCTGATAACTTCTTTTTTTAAAATCAATTCTTTTGATTTATAGCTACCATTTGATAAGCACATATTATGTTCCAGGCTAATTTATTTCCTGAGATAAGCCTTTGAGACAAATGTTATCATTATCTGCATTTTACAGATCAGTATACTGCAATTTAGTGTATTAAACAACTTGCCCAAATTCACTTAAAAATTAAGCAGCAGAGGTAGGATTTGAAAACAGGCCCAATTCTAGAACGCTTATCCTAAATATCTCTGGTAAAGTTTTTTAAAAGAAATGGTCAGTTCTCTAATAAGAACCTATACATAGGTACCTAGGAATACATTTAGTGACATTTTGTTTTTGTGCATGTATCTATTACTGTTTCATAGATAATTGCTGATAATTGAACAATGCTCGTATTTCTTAGTCTGACATCCTGGAGATTTGATCTTGACAAGATGCATATCTTATGAGCTTTTCCATGTCCCACAAACCACTCATGCTTTGTTACAGAGCCGAGCAAATGTATATGTTGCCCACAATCCTGCTGGAACATCTGTGCAAAATATTCTACACTGGAGCCAGGTAAGAATGTGAATTTATGGTCTTTGCTTAGGATCCTTGCACATTTCGTCTAGAATAGTCAAAGGATGCCCTTTTGATACCACAGGAGTTATTTCACGTTCATTCTGAGATAAAGTGAGAGCTGGTCAATGCTGTTTCAACTGTGAATGTGATGTAGATCTTTAAACTTTTCAGGAGATGGGAAGAGAGAACTGGAGTGACCCAAGGACATCTTTAGTGGATTTTAAAAGTGTGAGTTAAGATGGCTTGAGAGAGACTGTTCTCTGTCTCTAGCCACCTCAACGATGTGGCTAGAGAAAATTATTTTTCCACATTCTCCTTTTAGGCTCCTTCGGCAGCATGGTCAAGTAGAAACAAAAAATGCTAAGGTGAGGCCTAATGGCCCAACCAAAGAGATCTTCACAGAAATTCTTTGTAGCTTAAACTTTACCTGCAATCATAGGAGGGAAAGTCGTGTGTGTGTGGTGTGTGTGTGTGTGTGTGTGTGTGAGACAGAGAGAGAGAGAGAGAGAGAATCATCAAAACCAAAGAAGAATTCTGAGTTGGATTAGATTTTGGTCACTATCTCCCAGGATCACCGCATTGCACAATTTTGGGGGTGCTTTCCCATTGCAGATGCAGAGTATGGAGCTGTGCAGAATACCCATCCACACTGATTGCACTGGGAATATACTTCCTGGAGTTGATAATGTGGTAGCTAAGCACTTCATAGTCCAACTTTCTCCCCAAAAGAGCCTCATTCTTGCTTTTCCACATTCCTGAGGATTACCCCAGAGCTGAATGGAGGAGCAGCTGAGCTTCTGTTCTCTGCTTCCCTCACAACTGCAGACTTGGTAGCAGATTTCCACCACCCCACCTCCATCCCTGCACCCAGTGACACCTTTGAGTACCTAGTAAATTGCAAATTTTGATCTCCTTTTAGGCAGTGAATTCTGGGGAACTCCGGGCATTTGACTGGGGGAGCGAGACCAAAAATCTGGAGAAAGGCAATCAGGTAAGAAAATCAAATACCATCTGCTGAAAATATATCCTTTGGAAATCTGTGAGAGGAAAGTTATATCTACACTCTATTCTAGAGATGGTAATGAAATATGAGAATTCAAGCAGAAAATAATAGTGTGAACTGTCTCTATGAACAAGGCACTGGGCTTCTCAGGGGCAAGATGGGGTAGACTTAGTCTGGGGAAGAGTGTAGTCTATGGCGGATACTAGAAGGATGCTTTTAGGATTTAAAAAACAAATGCAGATGATAAAGGTCAGGTTGTTTCATGGTACAGTAGAAAGAACATTAATGGCAAGTGTGGATTACTGTATAATTCTTGCCTCCGCACTGTAGACTTTTGTGATAGTGGGTAAGCTGCTTTGATCCTTCAAGGCCTCAATTTTTTATCTTTAAAATAAAAAGTATTGGACTAGATAATCCTTAAGAGTTCTCCCTAGTCACACTTTTAATGAATCTGTGATTTGCAAGTTAAAAAAATGGGAAGAGAGGGGTGGCAATGTTATTACATTGCCCAAGATAATATGTAGCCAACTTTATGGAATAAAATTTAAGAAATAAAATTGTAAAGGATCAGAATTGGCTTGGTCTGCTCTTTTGAGCATAAAATCTTCACTTAAAAATATTGGTTCAGGGGCCAGCCCGGTGGTGCACTGCTACAGTGCGCCGCTTGGGAGTGCGGTGGTGCTCCCGCTGAGGGTTTGGATCCCACATACAGACCGGCCGCTCACTGGCTGAGCGAGGTGTGGGCGCAACACCAAGGGTTGCGATCCCGTTGCTGGTCCCGGTCCGGTACGGGCGCGACACTGAGGGTTGTGATCCGTTGCCAGTCACGAAAAAAGACAAAAAGGAAAAAAAATAATAAAAATAAAAATATTGGTTCATATGTGTGTGAATGTAAATAAATATTTACCATACAAACAAAGCTAGAGGGAGTGGATTAGACAGTCTTATCTTTCCTGAAGAGTTTCACATCACACTTAAAATCCACCACTGCACATCAATCTAGATATAAAATGCTAGGAAATTAAACAGACTGTGTAATGCCCCTGGATAGCAAACTCTCAGTCACAGGTGTCAGCTACTTCTTTTTAAATCCTTCATTAAGTCCTAAAATATGTCTTTAAAGAAAGCATTGTTGCTTTGCCCCCCACAGATTTGTCACCCCTTGTCCCCTGGGTGACGGAGCCACAAAGGATTACTCAAAGCCCATCTCTTCTGAGCAGTGAGAAGCCCCAAAGTGGTTAATCTCCCAGAACCCTCAAGAGAGAGGCATTCCTTCCATTTGGGAAATTAACCACGGATTGGGGTTCCCTTCCTGTATTTATTCTCCAGCACAGGAAGTTACAGCAAGAGACATAGGTGGGGTTACAGTTTAACAATATAGGCTGGTAACTTTCCGTGAAACAAGTCAGATGACATTCTATTAGGCAATCAAGTGATCCACCAACAAAAGCTTGATCTTAGCAAAGATTCTCTTCTTACAGCAATTTCCCAGTATTTTTACATATCAATCAGGAACTTAGGTCTGTCTTTGACCCAGCAGCCTTGCTGTTACAACTCTTTATCTTACAACAGAGACTTAATAGCCTGGGGAAATTTTCCTGTTTTTTGCAAGGTCAATATTTGAAACTGCAAGGCTTTGGAAAACCGGGCCCTGTGAAGTACATATGCTTTATACATCTTCTACAAGTATTCCAGTTCTAAGATAGTTTTAATTTATTGACATTTAATGGATTTAGTTGTACAGAAAGTGATGCATGCAGAGTAGGCACCAGAAAATGGTAATGAAAGGGAAAACAAACACACAAAAAAGTGTCATAGAATCACAGCAACTTAGAGCTATACATACCATTTAGTTCAATCTGTTCACCTGCAAGATGAGAAAAAAAAATTACTGGCACCATAAACTATTCTAACCTTTCATACCTAAATTAGGCTGTAATTCCACATTCTTAGGGAGCCACAGAAATAAGGGCATTGAGGATTGGAGCCAAGGCATCATGGTGGGTTTTCTGAGTAAGAAATGAGCTTCATCATTCCTATGTAAAGTTCTGTGTACTGATTTATCTCAAGGGCCCAGGCAGCAGGCTAATTAACTAGCACTGCTTAAGTAAGAGAAGTTCCCAGGAATTAGGAATACTTCCATACCCTTTTCCGGGTGATTTGGATGGGAGGAGGCAGGTAATGAAGGTTGGAGCAGGTATTTAACTTTTGCCTCCCCTTGATTCAAATCACCTGAGTGTCATAAGCCAATTCATTTATTTCCTCATGTTTTTGGAGATACAGTCAAGCTAGGCCTGGCTCAAGGGCTGCCTGGGATGACATAGTCTCAGTAAGGATCCAGAGCCTTCCCAGTAGGTTCCTCTGCCTTTGTAACATATTTCTAATTCTTGCCTCATGAAATGTTTGCAAAGTTATCTTTTCAAAGAACAGAGACATTACTTTTTAAAGCAATTTATTTGCAAAATATTTAATAGAAAAGAAAAAAATTATTTTACATCTAAAATACAAGGCAATTTATGTGTTTTTCCACTTGACCTAGTAAGTTATTACAGATATTATTCTCATTTCACAGATGAAGAAACTGAGGTTCATTAACATGAAGTAATTTTACTTTAAAGTTGAGGCTGGAACAGAAACTCTAAATTCTGTATGGCTTAATGCTCATGCACCTTCCACCACAACACATGGCATGCTCATTATGTTTATTTGAAATGTCAATTGTGAGTTTGGAAGTCCAAATATTATCTAGAATTTAAAACTATTTCTTTTCTATAGCCAACTCCTGTCAAGTACAATGTTAGAGACATGACAGTCCCTACAGCAATGTGGACAGGAGGTCAGGATTGGCTTTCAAATCCAGAAGATGTGAAAACCCTGCTCTCCGAAGTGACCAACCTCATCTATCATAAGAACATTCCTGAATGGGCTCATGTGGATTTCATCTGGGGTTTGGACGCCCCTCACCGTATGTACAATGAAATCATACATCTGATGAAGCAGGAAGAGACCAACCTTTCCCAGGGAACGTGCGAGGTCATATTGTGAAGTGTCTATGTTGACAAGTCTTAGCAACAACCTCGTGGAAGGTGGGGCTTGGGTCTATGAGCAGGGGATTTAGGGAGGATTTCCAGAATAGGAAACCTACCATGTGGGCAGAAGGGAGCTGGAGAAGCAAGAACAGACATATATTATACACACATTCCCCCAGATTTCCTGAATTTGGCACTAAAACATATACATTTTTTTTTTCAGTTAATTAAACTACACATTGGGTGAACACAGGTTTCACATGCTATTATATACTCTACCGTCTTGAAGCGTAGCTTTTACCCAACAGCCAGAAAGTATCTAGACATTCTCTACATCACTTAGGTAAACCTCCGTAAAGCATTTATTTTTTCTGTAAGCCGTATTTTCAGAACAATAAAGTAAAATGACAATTTAGGACAGATACTGAGGTCTCAAATCTCTGGACTTTGACTTTCACAAAATAAGCGAGACATTTTCACCTTGTTGCCATAGAGACTAACACTACCTCAGGAAGCTGAGCTGCTTTAACAACAAAAATCAATGTATAGTGTGAATGAAATACATGCTAAACATTTTCAGGATAGGCCCAAGTTTTATGGCTGGATCTCAGAGAAGGCAATTTTGTAGGATATTTATGAGTTTTCTAATAAATGCATTATGCATTGCATAAAGCATGTACTATATGTGTATGTTAGTATCTAGATTCTAGTCCAAGACTGTTTGAGAGTTTATAGCCTGTCGCTAGGAGACCTAATGGCTAGAAATTTCTGGCCCAGTTTTCTGTCTCTAAGAATTAAAAGCTAGGAAGAAAATTTTATAATGTCATGAGCATAATGAAACAAATTGTCACATATTTTATACTTTGATATTGACAAAGTTATTGTGAGACAATCACTCCAACTCATTCACAAATCTAGATTTATTTCTTTAGAAAAGTATTCAATTTTCATACAGTTTCAAAGATGACAGCTGTAAATTACATGACTACTATTTTGCAAAATTTACTCTGAAACCAAGTCAGTGGTATACTGGTGTGTGTCAAAGGTATATTGTTGAAGATACACAGCAATTTTTTTTTTTGGGGGGGGGTTACCTAAAGTCACCTGGTAACTCAGTTCAATGCTTAGACAATTTATTAAGAAATATTCGTCTATACCTACACACTACCACTTCACTCACAAAATATGTACCTTAAGGGCCTGTACATAGTTCAATAAATATCCCGGGGGGGGGTTACCTAAAGTCACCTGGTAACTCAGTTCAATGCTTAGACAATTTATTAAGAAATATTCGTCTATACCTACATACTACCACTTCACTCACAAAATATGTACCTTAAGGGCCTGTACATAGTTCAATAAATATCCCTGGATTTGGTTTTTATTAGACCTTTGTTCTGTTCAAGGATGGAAATCTTTCATTCTTAGACTGTATTTGTTACCACACATAGTCCACGTTTACAGCTAATGCATGATTCAGTCTTGATTTGCAAAATTCAATCATTTAAGTGTATTTATTTCTACTCTCTCATTCACAAAGGAAGTGAGGTACATTTTTATATCAATAATCTCTCATTTAGAAATATAATCCAGATACCACTTCATCATATTTCTTGTGAAGAAGTCCTATATCAAAATAGGTTACAACAATATTTTAAATTGTATCAATAAAAATAAACAAAACGAACAAGCTTAGTAGCCACCTTGTATTTACAGGAGGATCACAGAGATATTTTTGAACATTTTGATACACAGTTATATAATCTTCCTCAAAACCGAGATGGCTTTTATTCGTAAACTGACACCAAAACGTTTAGTGGCATGCTGGTATGCTGGTAAACTGGTTCTCTGGAAAGGAATAAAAGCCCTGATTTACAGGATTTGCCCATTTCTGTGGTGTAAACACTTCTACCACTGACAACTGATAGATGTTTTCATCAAAAGAATATTTACATGTGAAACCCACACACCCTCTCACACCATTCTACATAAATGTACATACTGTGATTCCTCCTCTTACTTCTCAAAGGGGCTTGAGAGAAACAGTTTGTTTCCTAGGGCATGACGTGTACCAGATAGCCTCTTTGTAAGAGTGACAGAATGGGGAAGAGAGAACACTATCTCAGGTATCTCCGATCCTCTTCCTCAGGGGAGAATGAATGTGAAGCATCACATTTTTTCCTAACTGAAGTGGAGATTCCAGCAACTTTAATGTTTCCCCTAGAAATACTATGCCCATGGTGAACTCCATTGAGTAAAAAATATTATAAATACAACACTCTCTTTAAAACATTAACCACAGCAATCACCCCAATAAAACAGTGACATCCAGACTGAGTGGCCCACAGACCAACAGTCCAAGAAGGAGATAGCATCCTGTCCTTTAACTTTGTCCATATCTCCATCTGCAAGGTCACAGGATTATAATGCTTTCCTTAGCATTAATTCAATCTGGAAAAATTTTAATCTCCGTGCGATATCCAGTGAGCTCTCACCACGCTGAGGAGAGAAAGAAATTACAGTTATTTATTTCCAATAGAGTCAATTATCAATGCAAAGGGTCTTGTGAATAGTTTAGATTGATTGATTCTTAAGTTTGGCAGGGAACTTAAATGTCATTCAGTCCTAACAGTAATAGAATAACTTCATTCCTTAATGAGGACGATTAGTTTTTACTGTTATTAACATCAGAGACAATTAATTTACTTCAAGCCTGAGTTATAAGATTATGCTGCTAGAAGGACCTCAGACCATGGTCCACAGATCCTTACCTTATTTTTTATTGTGGGGTCTGCACGGGCTTCCAAAAGCATAGGGATAAGAGACTGGTTTTTCATTTCGCAGGCATAATGTAATGCGGTGTAGCCATACTGAAACACAAAGGGTTAACATCGCAGCTTTCCAATCAGGCTCTCCACAGACCACAGTACATGATTCATTTAGTAAGTACTTTACACACTTTGTAACATACAACTATACAAAACAGAAAGTCTGCAAACCATCTATGGGCAACTATTTCCTGTACTTAGAAAGTTTTCTTCTTTGCTCCAATGTTTATATTAATATCCCATAAGCCATTAATATCTTCCTTTCTCATACTCTGCTCCAAACCCAAAACTGAAACATATAAAAAGCTGATGCTGAGTTATGCCAAGGCATTCATCTTTGTAAAATTCTGTATGCCTAGGCACTCATCACCTTGATCATGTTACCATCTTTTCCCTTAAAAAGTCTCCACATGGATCTTTGTGTAAATATTATCCTTTGTGGTTTTTGATGAAAATCCCCAGTCTGAAAAAGGCAGGTACCTCATATAACTACAGTCCACCTACAAGATCAGTGCAGTTCTACAGAGAAGTCTGCCATACTTAGTTTGTTATAGTTCAATTATAAAACAGTGAATCTACTTTTTTAGCACTAATTTAAAACATTAACTATGGGTCAAAAAACAGTATAGCTGAAGCATTTCTGTCCAAAATTTTGTCTTTCAAAAAGTAACCAAGCAACCACAGTTTTAATAAGTGAAGAAATAATATATATGACTATCAAAACTAACAAAATTAATTCTGGACCTTATTCACCAGGAACTCTAAGATGATAGGAGATAATGCTGCAGTTACTTATTTTTATTAAGTGATGGCATGATAAATGGAAAATCTGGCTCTGAGTTTTTCCATGTGAAATAGAGTCGTTATCTAAATATATGAAACACTGCATTACTGAGAAAATGGATCATAATATTTAAGTGGTTTTTGAAAAATGTCTGGAATAAATGGGTGTCTGTGTGTGTGTGTCCACAGGAACATAATATCTTTATCTGTAGATTTAAATAGCTGAGAAAATATTCTAGAGAAATTTTGGTAATAGGTACAAATTTTAAATCTTTTGAATTTAAATGAAAAGACCAAAAACAAAAAAACAAACAAAAAACTTCAACAAACCTTTTACTTAATCTTTAATAACTTCATACTTAAAACATTTCAAAGGTATCTAAGGGAATAATGATGTACAGTAGTTGTCTATCCAAATGAATCTAAAAGTTTTATTTGAAATAAAAGGAAAATATACATTCATAAACTGATTTTCTTGTGCTGTCTCTCTCTCTCTCTCTCTCTCTCTCTCTCTCACACACACACACACACACACACACAAATACCATCATTTAAACATGACATCAATATAACCAAAACTAAAGTTATGTAAATAATTAATAGAAACAGGGATGGGGACATTTTTTTATATTATATAACAATGGTAATACACATAGACACAGATGTGCACAAACATAAAATTAGTTAGGCATCACAAACAGAATGTTAGATTTTTGGAATCAAATGTCCACTTGCTTATTTTTTCAATAAGCACCTGGGAATCCAAAATTTTATTTAATTAACATAAGCAAATAAGACACCATACAAATAAATTTGACTCACTATGAGCATTTACGGGAGAAAGATGAGCACAAAGGTGCAGGGGTAAAAGGTGAAAACAAAACTTAACACTTATAAACAAGAAGTAGTTAGCTGATGCTGCTTCTGTTGTTATAACTGCTCTAATCATCATTTGGATTTTGTCTTTATCTTTAGTTCATAGATGGGGCCTCTCTTATCAGTGGGTTGGGATCTTGGCTGCAGCAGCAGCAGATTACATTCAGGGAGCATTTACAATGTGCTGAGCACTCACCTAAGTGCTTTGCATGAATCAACCCTATAAAGTAAATACAATCAATATCCCCATTTTACAGATGAGAAAACTGAGTCAGATAAATTTGTAACTTGATCAAACTCACATAAGTAAAAGCTCGCAAGCCCAGATTTACACGTGGGTGTTCTGATTTCAGCGTCTTAACTACAAAGGATAGAATTTTGTTATCAGAAGCTCTGTTTTCCTTAACTTCTCACCAACGCTAAAGCCAGTTCTCTTAAAAATGTTTTATAATCAATAAAGATTTTATTCTCATGAGTTTAGCAGAATATAAATTACCTCAAGTTCACCTGTCAGAAAATTAGAGAAAGAGAGAGAAGAAAAAGAATATAAAGCTAAGTATAAAAGTATCTAGGAAAATAAAGCAAGCAACTTTATAGATGACAAATACACTACCTTCAAATGCCATTTTGAATATTTTTTTCAAAATGGCTAGAAATACAAACTTACACAGTCTGTAGCATTAACTTCCACGCCAGCCTCAAGTAGCATTCGTACGAGAACCTCATTCTGCTTTGTCTTTGATACCTATCAGAGAAGGCAAGTACGGGAGAGGTTTATTTACAAACATTTTCTCTAACCTATGTCTGAGACTATTTAATCAACTGCTTCATTTTAATTCCAATACCCCTATGCACTTATGCACCTTTCTTGAAATTTCCCCCAAGCTCCTCGCCCACCCCCACCTTCAATATCCAGGCGTCAAAGCTGTGGTTCTCAGGGTGTGGTCCTGGAAGAGCAGCACCAGCACCTAGGAGATTGTCAGAAATGCACACTCTCAGGCTTCACCCCACACCTACCAAGTCCTACTGAGGTGGGGGTTCAGTACCTGTCTTTCGCCTCCTGGCTCGGAACTCTGCAATAAGTTCTCATTGCTCTGAGGACAAAAGTAAACTCTTAAGCATGGCCTGCATATGTTTGGGCATCACGTATGGCTCTAGCCCTCTCACTCCACACCTACTAGCCTACCCTGGCCTTTGTTAGTCCTTCATTTCCACCATGCTTCTTCCCACCAGAGAATCATTGCACAGGAAGTTCCTTCTGCCAAGAAGCACCCTCCCTTCCTTGGCTGGTAAACCTATCTTTCATATCTCAGCCCAAGCCCCTCTTCCTCCAAGAGGCTTTCCTTGACCTACCTGGCCAGTAAAAATCCCTCTCTTGTAGGCTCTCAGAATACCAATCACCTCTCTGTATCACCTGCTTCATGTTAATTTTACATGTGTTTGTGTCTTCAAATTAATGACTGTCTCCCTATCATCTTCCATCTCTCACAGGGACAGGACCATGCCTGTTTTGTTCATCACTGTGTCCCTAACACCTAGCACAGTGTCCAGCACATGGGAGGTCCACAATAAATATATGTCGAAGGACTGAACAAATGAATGCCATGGACTAGGGCTCCTCAGAAATCTACTCTTCCCTTCTAGCCCCATGAGATTCTGACCCCGTGCCAGTTTACGCCTTCTCCCTACATCCCATCACCTGAGAAAGTGAAGACTTCCCCGCTCATGTGGCCGTGGCCCTGGAGTTCAGCCCCTTCACATCTGGGAAGCTCCATCCACTGTCTTCTTCTCTGTGCTTTCCTCCTGTGTCCCTTCTAAACTGCCTTCCTCCCCCTCCCCTTCTCTGAAGTAACTCAGTCCTCTCTGGCCCCTTCCCTTTAATTTCCTCTCCTGTCACGTATTCCTTAGACATCACAAATGTATCATTTCAGACCCCATTAATGAATAGCGTATATGTGCAGTTAGAGGCAGGCTACTCATCACAGTTAATATTTTTGCCTAGGCCTCTGGCTTCTGAACACTGGACCATCTTAGAAAGCAGAGCTGTATGTCAACAAATTCTGAATGAGCATTGCTAATCACAGCTGTGTTTGTTTGTTTGTTTTCTTCAGAGTCTCTGAAAAGGTTTGTAAATGAATGACAGATTCTCCCTGACCCAAAACTATACATATTCAAATACTGAGTGCTAAATACACAGGGAATTCTTCAAAACTCAAGGATATAAGCACATTATATGTTTATTAGTGAATTACAGTTTCTTCTGTCTCTCCCAAAAATGTAAACATCAAAATTAACATTATCGTACTTAATTATAGTCCATCTAATTCTGTAACATTTAAGTACCCAGGAAGATAACATTTCTGACTGGCAGACTTTGTCGTAAATGGAGCTTATGTTAACAAGGATAACTAAAGTCCATGGTCTATTAGCTACAATGAGGAGGGAGCTTGGACACTCAACTGGAGTAAATCATGCATCTGTTGAGTCATCTCTCAACAGTGGATCTGGCCACAAGGGAAACCAGATAGAAAACAGTGAATGAGTCAGTGCAGACCTGTCACCCTATTTGAAACAAACAACCTCAAGCTTTGTATTCCACACATAATATGACTGCATCCCTGTACAAACGACATCTTCCCTTATTCAAGAAAATGACTGCCTGCCAAAGATTCATTCAAGCATGAATAAATCCATCAAGGTGAAAAATGGGCTTCCAATTCTCCATAAATTTCTTCTGAGTTTGTCAGCTTCGGGATGCAAATCTCTTGGAATCTGTTATTTAACTCATCATGGGGAAGGGGTTCCTTAAAAATCAGAANCAAATCTCTTGGAATCTGTTATTTAACTCATCATGGGGAAGGGGTTCCTTAAAAATCAGAAACTCAGAAAGATCTGCAAAAAGTAAATTGCTGTTACAAAAAAAGAGGAAAAAAATAGTAGGAAGAGGTTTTTTTTGGTAATGTTTGGAATTTTTGTGCTTCCTTCTGATACTGTAATTTTTAGTTAAGATTAATTTATTTTTCTAAATAAACATTGCTTGGATTATGTTACCATTGTGTACTTTTGCTACCTTTCTTCTTGCTTTAATCATAGCATCATAGCATGTATGATGGAAATGTCATTTGTACAATATAAACCAAGAGTTTATTTTGTCATGTTTCTTGACAACATCTCACTGGCCTAGCAAAACTTAAGTCATGCCATCGATCTGATCACTGGCCCAGCAATACTTGATGAGTCACGCGTGCCATTGACCTCCTGCACACACTTGCCCCTCGCAGCAACAACTGCTGTACTCACCATGAGGAAATACCCGATAAGCAGGACAGGCATTAAGAGGATAATGAGTAGATAATCAAAGAAGGTAAATTTTTTCTTCACAGCATAATGCAAGCAGGTTCTCTCTTTCTAAAAATTAAGAAAAGGACTCTATAAGTAAAATATTTTCTTTCAAATTTCACATTTTCAGATTGCCACATCAAAGTTTAGTTTATGCTTTACATTTTTATGGTACTCATGGCAGGTCTTTCTGTGGTGTATGCCTGATGAATAAACTCAGGTTTCCATTGACCAGCATATTGAACACAGTCCAGTCTGAAGAAAAAGCTGGAGAAGGGGACAGCCCCGTGGCTCACTCGAGAGAGTGCCGCGCTGGGAGTGCAGCGGCGCTCCCGTCGAGGGTTCACATCCTATACAGGGATGGCTGGTGCGTTTCACTGGCTGAGCGCGGTACAGG